AACAGCAGCCAGCTGGGAAAAGCCCTCCGGTCCCATGAGGTAAAGTGGCACCCGTCCATGTGCACCTAAGATGCGGGGCTCCTCCTGATGGTGCTCCGTGAGCTCTGGACCCATGCGGGCCCTGGGCCGCTTGCCGTGGGGCATGCAGCCCCGTCTCCAGAGCGAGCGGCTCCGGGCCATGGCGCTCATCAGCATCTCTGCCAGCACAACCAGCTGGTGGGGGAGCCTGAGCAAACAGCCCCGCGCTTCAGAGGTATCGGCGCGTCACGGAGTTCCCAGATGTTGCTCAGTTGCATTACTGGATGCCCCAAGCTTGGGAGCAAAAGCCATGTTGCACACGGTGGAAGCGGTGCCCAGTCTTGTCCCAGACTTGCTTGTTTTGAAGGGTTTTTGAAGGAAGTCTGATCTTGTGACACTGGAGCCCATCCTTGTACCTCCAGCTTCTCCATTCTGCTCGGCAACACAAGCATGGCCTTTTCGTCAGGGAAACGGTGCTCTACCAGCCACTAAAGCAAGAAAAATGATCATCCTCTTGTTTTGCTTCCCCTCTCAAGAAGACGTCCAGGAAAGCAGAGTTGCTGTGGCTTCAGCCCAAAACCTTCCCAAAGTTTCTCTCGCCTGTGTGTGCCACGGGCGCTTGGCACGGTGACATTTGCTGACGGATGCAAAAGGAACGTGAGCTGCTATATTTAGCTTCCCATTTCCTAGGTAAGTAAAGACATGGCAAAGAAAAGACATTCCCCCGAGCCTGCAGGACAGTGATCTGAAAGTTATTTTGGTGGTAACAGGAGCATAGCACAAGGCAGGAATTAAGGGGAAAGAGACGCCGCAGAAACACGAGATGGGGGTCAGGGGCGGATGGAGCCACGGATGAACCTCCCCTGGGCCCCGGAGCACACGCAGGGCTGTGTGCTGCTTATCCTGCCCTGTGCAGAGCCACCGTGACTAAAAATTGTGCAGCCTCCATGCCGAGACAGAGAGCAAGCCCGAAACTAAGCGGCGCCTTCGGCCTTTGCGGGGCTTGCAGGGCCTGCCGCACGCGCCGTGTCACTCAGTGACCGTCCCTGGTCTCTCACAGCATCCTGCCCTCCTGCCCGCTCGCAGCAGGACAGAATAGACAGTGAGATTGAAGTGAACAGCCCGTTTGTGATCGTTGGCCATGTCCCTTGAAGTAGTTACGATGAGCGCATTAACTGCTACTAACTCGTTATGTTCCTTGTAATTTGGCCAAAATTCACACCGCAGAACCTGTTTTCCTAGCAGCTAATAAATACAGGCTTATTGCTATGCCACCAGGTGTCTCATAGTTGCAAACTTCTTCCTCACACCCAAGTCACGAATGTTTGGTGCTCTTGGCACATGCTTTTGGTTAGAGAGACGATACTTTACAAACAGGCCAAGTTAATTATGATTCATTCTTAGCCACCATAAACAATCTTTCTGTTTCATCAAGACAAACCAGGGTGGAGCTAAAGCTTACCCCTCAATTCCACCTAGCACAGCACAGCCAAGAGAATTAAATAGCACCTGGAGCCTGGGGATATTTTCATAGGCCTTGCCCTAAAACTGAGTACATACTTAGGAAACCAAGCTATAACACAGCCTTGCTTATGAATTGCACTCACAGCAGTTTCAGATTATGCAGGCACAGGAGCAATTTGCGAGCCACGCGGTGCTCCTTAGATCTCCTTTGAGATCCAGCTCGACGCGGAGACAGAGCCAGCAGCACCCTGGTTTCTGACTCAGCCTCTGAAGTGGTGAGGAAAGAGGAATAAGACAAAAAAAGGAGATTCCAGGGAAAAGGATTGCACAGGGTTGGCAGCTCCTGACTCCAAGAAGATGTGCACGGGAATGGGAGCTGCCTATATGAGGGCAGAGGATTTCCTGGTCAATGGGCCCCTGCAGTTCGTCAGGGCACGTCCTGGTGCTGGTGAGGACAGAGGCACCTACATGTGGGGGAGCGGGGGCCTTGCCAAACTCTCCTTGCTTCTGTGAACTCGAGGTTTCTGCTAAAGCAATCAGCAGCAAAAGAGCTAATTGAATATTAGCACTAAAGAAAGAGCACCTGGCTTGGTGGTCCTGAGCGAGGCTACATTAAAAGCCGATGAGGGGTCACCCAAATCAGGGATCTCCTGGGCTTGCCGGAAGCTTGTGGGGACACCCCGCTGCCATGGCTTTGCTTTGGGCCCCTTTGACAAGCTGTGTTGCTGCACAGCTTTTGCAGCCACACAGGGCCTGCCCTGCTAGGTAAACACAAAGCTATTTCCTCAAAGGCAGAGGAGAGACAAACCCATCAGAACACGCAGATGCAACCTCAACACTGTTATCAGCTGGGACATGCGTGACCATGCCCCGGAAACGGCAGCTTGGCTCTGCTGACATGGATCCTACCCGCCATCTGACATGGCTGCAGAGACACGGCTGTGCTAAAACCGCACATGGAATCACAGAATCACAGGATGGTTGAGGTTGGGAGGGACCTCTACAGATCATCCAGTCCAACCCCACTGCTCTAGCAGGGACACCCAGAGCACGTGGCACAGGGCAGCATCCAGGCGGGGTTTGAAGGTCTCCAGAGAAGGAGACTCCACAACCTCTCTGGGCAGCCTGTTCCAGTGCTCCGTCACCCTCACAGGAAAGAAGTTCTTCCTCACATGAGGATGGAACTTCCTGTGTTTCCACTTGCACCCATTACCCCTTGTTCTGTCACTGGCCACCACAGAGAAGAGTTTGGCCCTATCTCCCCTCAGGTATTTGTACATATTGATAAGACATGTCCTGGTTATTCAGAATTCTCCTGGAATACGTACATCCCGAATAAACACACTTTCCTATCTACATATCTATATGCAAATACACACACACTTTGGTTTCAGAGCCATATTCTGCCATGCATTGCACCATTCACAGGTAAGGTACAACCAGCTAATGTGAATACAAGGGAATGAAGAACACCAGAATATTATTATCTCACCCTCTGATCCACAGCAGTCAAATGTAGTTCAGGCCTTGGTACAGAGCCATTTCGCTGCCCTGCTGGGGGGAAACGCCGCCGAGCCAAACAGAAGAGGCATCGCAAGGTCTTCATGGTGGATCTGGCTCTCCCATGCAGCACTTGGGGGCAGCCCCTTGGGGGGCTGCTGTTCCCTACAGCCTGGGGGCTAGGCCTTCGCTTTTTCCATGGTTTGGGGAAAAATACGCAAATACTACGTGAAATAATGTGATTTTCTTTTTTTAATTCACACTGGTTTTATTCAGTCAAAATTCCTTGCAACTTCAGGAATAGGTAGAGAATTGCTGAGGAAAAAGCACTCACATAAGCCTAGTAAAAGGATGGCTGCTTTGTGACCTAGAGCAACTGTTTTGCTTGGTACCTCCCTATTCAAAATCCTGGCCAAGCTCTGCAGAACAGGCTGCAGCCACTGACAGGGATGCCACAAATTTAAAGCTGCTCAGTATTTGGACAGAAACCAAGCTGCCCTTGACATCTACCTTGTGGTCACTTGTGTAATGCCTGAGGGAGGAGTGGATGCTCAAAATGGAATTTCCAATCCCCACATGCTTCATCACATCATCAGAAACTGTGCCTTTATTTTCAAAAGAAAACACAAACAAACCACAGACATGACTGGTATGTCCAAAAGCAGGCGGAGACAGTTATCGCTTGCTAATAAACACACGGATGCCTTCCCCAGGATGCAGCGAGCTTCACATGGATTCTTCTTGGAGATCAGCCCATTCCCAGGTGCACTTCTCAGGCAAAACAGTTTTTGCTGTGTTGTGAACGCTGGGCATTGCTGTGGCTGTCCAAAAGGACCACCTGGCTCCAGTAGGAAGGAACTGGCCTGAGATTAATTTATTTTTATTTTGTTGAACGTTGTCTAAATCTCTGCACTGAGGGATGTGAATGGATCTTCTTAGAGCCTGAAAAGAAAAAAAATATATATAAAAAAAAAACTTAAAAAAACTTTGCAGGGTTTTGACAGAATTGTCCTGATTTTCTTCTGTAAAGCAAGAGGGGCCTCACGCCTGCAATTTCTTGTACAACCCCAGTTTTGTTTTTGCAGCAGGTAGCTCACGTGGCCAGATGACTAATGGGGACTTTCCCCCCACCCCAGGGCGAGAGCACAGGAGCAGCCCTTAGCGTGGGGGCGGGCGGGCTGGTGGCACTTGCCCTGCTTCCCAGCAGCTCCAGCGGCGGCTGCACGGGGATCACCACATGCTACACATTCCTCCTCCTGGAGGACAAAACAGCAGCTCCAGCTCCTGGAGGAGCCGCTGGCACCATGGCAGCTGCCTCACCCCGGCACCTTCCCTTGGGCACATCCCGGATCCCGTGTCCCTTGACGGGAAGGAGACACCGAAGGACAACGACCAGGGCAGAACAGGGCACGCAGGCTGCCCCTTGGCCTGGGTAGCCAACCCGAGCACTGGCCCCACAGCCAGCCCCAAACAGGCCTGGGGCCCCAGGGGACCACCCCTGAGCCCCCCAGAGCTGAGCACGCCACGTTCCTGCGCCCAGCAAGTCACCTCAGGCCACCTCAGCCATGCGACTGCTTACGGTTCTTCATTTTTTCACCAGTTTTATTCATTCAGGGTACATTTTCTCTTCCCTTCCTCTTTCTTCTCACACTTCCCATCCTTTCTCTTCTGGCTACCCTGCAGTCCCTGGTCACGGTGGCGTTGGGGGAAGGCCGGGAGCGATGGCGCCACCAGCCTGGGCCGTGCACAACCCAGGCCCAGCCGGAGCCATTTGGCGTCCAGCAGGAGGATCTGGACGAGGTCGGGATCCCAAGGGAGCCACCTCGGCCTCCTGTCAGCCGCAGGGGCCAGGCTGCGCTCGCCCCCTCAGCCCTCCCCCCGCTGCACTTCAGAGGGGAGATGCTCTTAAATTATTAACGAAGCCTTTAGCTACACTGTGCTTTGACTGGCAGATACCAAACCTGCCAAGCTAAAGAGAGCAGACGGCCGCACGGCCGAGTTTAAAGATCACAGGTTAGCTCTGAAAAAGCAGCAAAACCCCCATGCAACACTTGGGCTCTTTATTTCTCCTTTGGATTGGGAGATTCAAGGGGCCCTGTTTGCAGTTTTCCTTCAAAACTACTTACTGCGCAATTACTGACATTTTGTTGTGCTTTACGATCCGACGGGGAGGGGGAGCTCTGAAAAAACACTCGAAAACCTCCCTAATTAGACTACATGTGCGTAAGCAGCTGTTGAATCTGTCCACCAATATTAGTAGAAAAAGAAGCAAGGAGGGAAGGGAAGGGAAGGGAAGGGAAGGGAAGGGAAGGGAAGGGAAGGGAAGGAAAGGAAAGGAAAGAGAAGGAAAGGAAAGGAAAGGAAAGGAAAGGAAAGAATCCTTGAAGTCTGCAGAAGTCTTGTGAAGCCAGATGGCCAGATGGAGAATAAAGATCTTGCTGTCACCATCATCACAGAACATGCAGATAACGTATCAGGAAGAGCTGAGAGCTGCTCCACCAGAAACCAAACCTTCCTGGCTCACAGGGCTGCCAGTTTGCTCTGCAAAACCCCTAGTATGGACAGCTACAGCATTTTAGAAACGCCTCCAGCATAGTCCCCTTCCAACACAGTACTTTTTCAGCAGTACAGAAGGCTCCTCTGGCATCAAGAATTTGCGTCTGCTACACGTGTGCTAGAGGTAAAGGGTTCACTGCACATGCAGAAAGGTCCCTGGAGGACACGGTGATTTTACAGGATCATCAGTTGAGTTGACCTTTTCTCCACGGAAAGAACAACATTACTGAGGATTCATAATCAGATCTCTCTGGGTACAGCACAGTCTCCTTGTGATGTTCTTCACATCTAGGTGCCTACTCGGTTTGAATCATGAGCCTTTTTTCTGATTTCCTTCCTTGATAAGACTTTTAATAACTAACTATATGAACAACAAAGTAAATATTCAACCAGCTCAGAGGCAGATTGCAGATCAAATATCTAAATCTTTTCTCTTGCCCTTTTAAAAACAAACACCCACACAAGCCGCCTGCAGAGGGAAAGACTGCTCACTTTGCTCATCCCTCAACTACGAGGTTTTGTTTTACAAAAAAATAGGAAAGTCAGCTGCTTCACAGCATACCACAGTAATTTCATGGTGAAGTGTTTGATGCCTTTAGAAGTCTGGCTTCCCTCCTGCTCTTGCTGCTCAGGTGCATCCTCTGGTCTTGTTATCCTAAGCACCAATGTGCGGGCAGGTATCGGTTGCGATAAGCTCACCTCTGGAAAGAGAGCAGGTAGGTGCAGTCTGCTGTGCCACAGAGTAAGGAGGCTGTATGTATACAAGTGCAAACTCCGAACAAAGACGAACCCTAATGAGAAATACTAAAGAGATCTGCTGCAAAGCATGGGCAAAAAAAAAACAAACAGAGAGGAAAGAGGAAATTGGGCATCTTTCCTGGTTCCAGCTCCCACAAAAAGTAAGAAATTTTTGTTTATTACAAACACATCCCACATGGGATTTACTCAATAAGGCCACTGAGAAGCAGATGCTCCTGTGAGAGGCCACTTTTCTGCCACACACATACCCTGGCAGAGCCACCCCTCTTTGAGCACAGGGAACGCGTATGGAGGCAACACGGCAGAGTCAGCAGTGTTGGTCAAAGAAGCTCAGCTTGTTCTCTCCAGCTGCTGCAATCATGGAGCCTGCAAAGGGACACAGCTTGGAAGAACAAGGAGTCTTCTATATGATTCCCATTTTGTGTCTCTGCAGCTCAACTCCAGGAAAAATTATCACTGATTAGAAAAAAATCATGCAACACAGTCTATCTCCATGTAGTGGGGATAGAGCTGCTCAACAGACAACAACCTTGAAATAACAAAAAGCCTTGGTTTGGAGTGGTGCTTCATTGCCAAAGCATACCATTGAAACAACATGGGAACAATGATTTAAAGCTTCTCATCTGTGAAGAGAATAAACTTGAGAGACAGAGGAAACACCTGAACTAACCCCACGCTGCTTAAGCCCTGCTTTGGCTGGCCACTGGATGTTAGTTACTGCCACAGTTGTTCCTCAATCTGTTATTCTGGTTGAGTTACACAGCACTGTCTCATTCAAACCTCAGTATTTGTTCATCCTTGTAGCCCCAGACACTGCATAATTTACCCAAAGATAGATAGGAAATTATAACCACTTACCTGTGAGCATTTTGTAAGACTGGAAGCCCATATTTATCCATTTCAAGTAAACTATAAATCAGTGTTTGCATTAGTTTCACTGCTCTGTTTACTCTTGGGCCCATGAGACTACATATTCCCATTAAAGGATGCAAATATTATTTCTATTAAGAACTGACAGCAGCTAAAATCGAAGGTTTTCCTCTTGCCCTCAGCCTATAAGTGAATCCGTGAATATTACTGGTGACCTGGTGGAACTTACCCTTCTCCTCCCACGACGGATTCCCCCTTTGCACAACAGTTGAGTATGAGGAGTCACTTCCCTAATCCAGGGGAAGAGAAAAGCAGCACCCGCAGAATCTACTATCAATCAGACATATTTTGCAAATTCATTTGCATGGTTTTGCCTTAAAGGAACTAAACGGAAAGAGGCAAAACACACGGTTCAGACTGCACCTGTGCGTGCGCTCCGGGCGCAGAGGAGAGCGGACGCGAGCAATGCGTGGCCACCGCTGCGCTCGCCGCCCGCTCCCTCAGCACAGTTACCCCCTGTTGGCTCTGAGGACAAGTTCCATGGGAAATCCACTGCCTACAGCTCAGGTTATTGCCAGCTCGCTGAATTTCAGGATGTGCGAAGAGAAAGCAAGGATCAATGGCTTCTTTGACAGGATGAATGAATCTTGGTAAGGCAGGGGACTTCAGGATTTGGAAAAGGGCTGGGGGAGGGTTTCCGAAGGCACTAAAGAGCGTGGTGAGAGGACGTGTCTTGCACTGCACTTTGCACGGGCTCCGCTCCACCCCGGTCACGCGTTCAGGAGCCACACGTGCCCCGGCACCCGGACGCTGCCGCTTCCAAGCAGACAGCTGAGCCCGGAGCTGCACAGATGGCACTTTGGGACAGGCTGCCTCTGACGCATGGCAGATTTAGACCATTTAGAGCTTTACAGAGCATTAGCTGCACCCTGCATCCACCTGCCGGAAGAGCCCTGGCGGCTGCACGGCAAGGACGACCTGGCAGGGACGCGGCTGCCAGGTCAGGCTGGGAAAAACACAGCCAAAACCCCTCGAGCTCCCCCGCTTCCTCCCCTCTCTTTTGCTGCTTCTTGGCCATGCCATTACACAGACTGCAATCCCTTCTGCGGAGCTACTTTAAAAGGAAACTCGGGCATGCCACCTCCGTGCCAGGGATCTATCAAAATGTGCGTGTCATCCTGCTTCAGCTTCTCCACGCACGAGTTGCTCAGAATTACCACACGTTTCTGAAGGAAAAGGAGGGTCCCCGTGGCGGGCGGCAGTGCCGAGCCGAGGCGCCCGTCGAGCTCACGCGACACCGCGTCACCTGCGAGCACCCGCTGCACCAGCCAGCCTGGAGCCTGCACCCAAGGATGACCTTTCCCTGCAGTGAGACACACCAAGCCAAGGCAAAGCCCTGTCCTGTTTTGTTTCATGGTAACTTTTCAGAGAGCCCTAGCGTGCCTGGCTGAAGTTCCTTCATCACCTGAAGCATTGCAGCTCTGCAAGCCTCACGAGGAAGGTTAATTATCATGCTCGGATGGAAGGGGTTTTGACATTAGGAAGGAGCACATTCTGTGGAAAGTTCAGCTAAGGGCCGAAAGCCCCTTCACGTCGAGTTACGGTGTCGGCACTCACAGTCAGTGTGCTGTTTTAGGCACAGGCAGGCCAACAGTCGCAGCACCGGGGATACAAGCAGCACCACTACGCCAAGGTGTTCGGCACATGAAGTAGAGGTGGGAGCAAATCAAAGTATCGGCAAGGCCCAATTTGATAGATGCCAACACTTCTGTTAGGAAACAAAAAATAAAAGGGTTTGGATCGCAGTTCTCCTGCCTGGAAAGGAAGGGGCAAGTGTGAGAATGCATAACAGACAGAAGGATGGCAAAAAAAAGAAGAGAAACACTCTTGTGAGACATATGCGTGCAAATAGAGAAGGCATCAGTATCGGTTTGTTCTCTCTCCTGCCATCCTCCTGAAACAGTAAAAATTCAAGCTCCCCCTTTCTCTTGAAAAGCAAAAAGGAGGAGGAAGGGGGCACAGAACTGAAGTAATGAATGAAGGTACCTAAAACATAGAAGTAAAGCACCACATTGTGATACTCCTTCACCTGGGACGCATCCTCCTTCCCTCCCAGTTTCTGTGACACAGCACGGCAGAGCCCAGCTGAGGGGTTTTCCATGGCTAAGGAGGCTGGTCTCTCTGGGAGCCGCCACTGGCCTTATGGCACAGGGGCCGAAGGGGCCTCACGTGGCGCTGTAGTGCCCGAGATCGTAGAGAGCCCCTCATCACAGAGCTGTGGCCAGCCCAGCAGCTCTGTTTTAACCTGCCTGGGTTGCTACGGGACACGGCAAAGGGCAGCACTGGCACAAAGAGGCAGGGCCGCGGCTGCCCTCAGGCGCTGCTCGCCCGCCCAGGGGGCTCTGGTGCTGGGGCGGGCGATGGCCGGGGCGTCGCTGATGATCTGTGACTGCCGCCCGAGAGCGCTGGATCCAGCACAAGAACCGCAGGAAGCTCCGCGGAGGGAGAGCGGCGTCGGTATCTGCTGCTGAGCCCCACCTGACGCACGCCCGGCCTGTCGGCGCTTGCCACAGCAGCAGAGCACGCTCTGCACTTGCTCTACCAGCCAGCGTCATCCATCTGCACCTCAGAGCTCTGTCCTCTCGCCCTCAGTTCGGCCGGCACCGTGTGCTTCCCAGCCATGTCCGGACGTGTTCCCAGGAGTGTGGCCTTGGGAGCAAGGAAACTCGAGCATGTGAAGAGCCTCTGTCAAGCAGCAGCGGTTCTGGGAAGCAGCCCTGGACCTTGGAAACCTCCACCTTGGCTCACAAGCCGAGACAAGTTTGGACAGTGTTCTTTAAAATCTGT